TAAAAAAGGCAAATGCATTTGGAGGACTATTCCAGCGGTCGTGATCAATACTATTTGGTCAGAGAGAAATGATAGATTATTTAGAAATAAAAAAAAGTCCTGATGTGCTGATTCTTTGTACTGTTGCTAGGATAGCTTCTTGGTTATCGGCTGTGCCTGAATTTAGTAATCAGAACATATTTCTAGTTCTAAATTCAGTAAGTGTGTAGGATCCTTGATCTTTATCTCAGGAGGATGACTGTTTGTCTCCCCTCTGGTTGTATGTTGTACTTCCAATGAATAAAATTACCTTACCTTTTTCCAAAAAAGTTTGACAAATGGAAATGAGTATTAGCAATAAAGAAAGTGGGAGAGGGAAATGAGAAAGAAAAAGCGAAAGAAGTGGTGGGGTGAAAGATTCCGGTGTGTTTAGGAGGAAGAGAAATTATTGGACAAAGCCAAATTTTAACACTTCTTAGACAACTTCAGATGGTGAGAATCTGGTAGGGGAATATGGTTCAAGTGAGTTTGGTAAAGATGAAATTTGTGTAGATGATAATCATCAAGTCGAGAAAGCAATTGACTTGGAAAAGATTGTGAATGAAGAGGTGGAGGTCAACAAAATCCTAGGTTTATGTTTTATTGGAGGAGAGGAATTTGCAAGGAAAACTTTTGAAAAGTTAGAAGGAAGATTTGAAATACCTCAAACAAGGTTCAAAGTATCGAAAATGCAAGGTGTATCGAAAAGCCAATTTTAAGAGACGTATCAGGATATGCTTTAGATACACATGGATACAGAAAAAAAATCAAGATACGTATCAATATGCTAGAAAGCTCAAATAGATCCTAAAAAACATATTAATAACTGTAATCATTCATGGAGAGAGAGAGACGAGCGAGAGAGAGAGAAGAGGAAGATACGATTGAGAGAATGGGTACAAAACAACTTATCTTTATCATCAGCCTTCTTGGTGTCACTTTTCTTCCCCATGTTGTTATTACTCATCGCAGCCAAAGCAACTTGTTGCTCCCCCTCAGCTGTAACCATCACACTCCACCAACTTTCTTCCGATTGAACAAGGGAGTATACCTCGTGAACCGACGACAACTCTTTGCTTCCTTGGATCTGAACTCTCAAAGGTTCATAGGCAGGATTCAGTCCCAACAATAAGGCAAACACACACTACTGAGAAACCAACTTCCTGTAGGCCTTAGCATCATCATCGTGTTTCCACTCTGTAGCCTGATAATGATCCAATTCTTTCCATATGGAAGTAAGGGCTGAATAATATGAAGACAAACTACAATTTCCCTGTTTACAAATTGAGGATTCAGCTTGCAACTGGTAAACCTTGGCTCAGAATAGGTAGTTTTGGTCTGTTCCCAGATCGCACTAGCGGTGTCTGCCCACATAAAGTTCTTCTTCACATCAGGTTCCATGGCTGCAAGGAGCCAAGACATCACCATACTGTTTTCTTGGTCCCACCTATCATGTTCARCTGTCTCACTCTTGGGTTCTTTTACCCTTCCATTTATGTAACCAGCTTTTCCCCTAGCCGTTACATAAAGTTTTATGCTTTTAGCCCACTCTAGGTAGTTTAGACCATTTAAAGGGGTAATGGGCATGGGAAACATCTTGTTTTCACCTCCCATACCTGCTATGCTGCGGGTCGGTGTAACCCCCGATGAGGTTGAATCATAGTTTGCCATAGATCACTGCTGAAATCAGTCCAGATCCCACACAACTACACAACAGCCACAAACAGAATACCAACCCTCAAGAAATTTACTTTTGGGATGTGGAAAAGACAACAAAAAAACTACTGAAATCAACTCTGTGATGGTTCAGTCATTAAACCAGCCCGGTAATCAGTCCAACACCAGCCAAGGCAGACGTTAGAACAATATACTATCAGTTCGACTACAACCCATACAGTCTTAACAATCCAGCATCCAAACGAATATATAGAACCAAGGAATAAGGCCTTCACACCATTGGCCAAAAATAAAAAAACAGGAACACATACCCTGTCCAACACCTGTACGAAGTTGCCAACCAGAAACTGACTTCACAGCATCAAACAGAGAAGAAGGGGAGTCTCTTTCTGCATCGCCCTTCTTCGACTAGGGTTTCCTTGATATTACGACCAAGGAAGAACCTAAAGGAAGAGCCACAAGTAGTCTGCTAGGGTTTCTCTGTCTTCCACGTCCAAGAAATCAAAGAAGGAAAAGAGGACAAAGCAGGTTCAAATAGGAGAGACCGAAATTCTTTTATATCCCAGAACCTTGCTTTGATACCATGTAATCATTCATGGAGAGAGAGAGAGACGAGAAGAAGAGGCAGATACGATTGAGAGAAAAGAAAACCTTACCCTAGCTGCCGCCAGTTCTTTATTTATATTAACTTAATATAAAAAGAATGGAAATTACAAGTATGCCCTTGGTGGCACTCCCTAGAAACAAACTAATAACAAAAAGAAAGAAAATAACTAACTAACTGACAACATCTTAAGAGGACAACCCACTAACAACAACTATAAAAATAACAATTAAACTCACAACAATAACAATAATTACAAATTTTATATGATTGTAAATAAGTTATTAAATGTAAACAAACATAATTTAATGGTTTATGTAAAATGTGAGATATTGGGACACAATTAATAACCATTGAAAAATAATGGAAAAACTATACATTAATTTTCAAATGATCAATATATTTTTAATACTTATTAATTTATAATTAATAATTAATTCTAGCATTTGTCAATAAACATGGAACATCCACTAAGAAAAAATAAAAATTTACTTGAAAATAAAAATTTATATGATCATAACAAACAGATTAGTGTGGCTTAGTGGTGAACATATGGTCATTACTTTTGATAAAAAAAAAGGGTCATTACTCATCAGAATCTAATGACTTAAGGTTCAAATCTTGTTATCACTAAAACTTGTAGTTTTTATGTTTACAATTATAAGAGCTAAAATTAATGGTTAATGCAATTAATGAGTAACAATTGCGTTAACGAGAGAAAGAATCATTAATTAATGAGATAGGATTTGAACTAGGCGCTAGAATTCAAATTCAAATTCAAATTGAGTAATTAACTAATTAATGTGAGGGAGAAAAAATAGACTTAAATACAAGAGTAATTAACAAAATTAATGAGAGAGAGAATTGGGTATTAAATGTAGATTAACGAAAAAATAATGATAAAAAAGAACTCCCAAAATGAATTAAGTGTATCGGACTGTTTCGGGCTTGTAATGGCCGGTACGGGCCTGTTTCAGCCAATACATACAAAAAGAAACGAAACAGATGATTTCTACATGTTTTGCGTATTGGACCTTTGTCAGAACGATACGTATTGGCCGATACAGGCCGATATGTTGTGAAATTTTGAACTTTGACCTCAAACCATTACTGATAATGATCATTTGTAGACAAAACAAATAAAAAGAAGAAAAAAATATGAGAATTTGTTCTCGGAACATTAGGGGATCTATAGATTTCCGAAGAAGGGATATAGTGAGAAATGTTATTACGAGTAATAGGGTGGTGTTGGTGTTTTGGGCATATTGTAACTGTTTTGATCTTGGACATTGTTTTTCTGTCTTCTTTATCTTTGGGTGACTGGACACCCACCCTCTCATATTAAAACAATTAACAATTTTCTTGCTGATAAAAAAAGGTGGAGTTGTTGTTGTAGTAAGAAAAGGAATTGGAAAAAGGTGGATATGGGTATTTTGAGTGACTTGTGGGGTTCAAATAGTTGTGGATGAGTAGCCTGTGAAGTGGAGGGTTGATAATCATTTGAGATGTGAGTATTTGGGTTCTGGGTGGGTTGTTGGTTCAAGGGTACATATTCAGTGTCTGTGGTATTGAATCATCTGGGGCTCAAAGGGGATGGTGTTACCTACAAATTTGTATGGTCGTAATGGGGATGGGAACAGGCTTGAAATGTGGGAGGAACTTTGGGAGTTTATGAAGAGGCTAGCATGGGACCTTGGGTGGTGGGGGGAGATTTCAATCTTTGTCGAAAAATAAGTGCAATGAAAGTGGGAAGGGATAATAGAGTGTTGGGAGGACTGAGAAGCTTCAGGGATTTTGTGAGAAAGAATGGGTTAATTGATTGTAGAATTTTGGGATCAAAATTCACTTGGTCAAATGGTCAAGATCCTCTTATTCTAAGAAGATTGGACAGAATTTGAAGTTGTGTCAAAGGATGCCTTTGAAGATAACTTTGGTTTGTTTTAGAGTATGATTTTCGTTGTTGATATATTTTGTTAGGTTAGTTGCTTATTGTACTTTGTTTGATTCTGGTTATTCCTTATCACCTTGATGCAATATTTCTTTTTAATAATAAAATTTTTCTCTTTTATTTATTACCAAACAAATATTTGTTTAGGATTGGTGTTGGTTTAACCCAAAACTATAGAAGAAATGAACCTCTGTCATCCCCACTAATTTGTGCTTTTTTCCTGAATGTGAGGATTTTTAATGGATGTATTTATCTAGGGATGTGAACTATTGTGCCTTGTTGAAAATCGAGTTGATTGCTATGGCATTTAATTAAGCTTATGAATCAATTTTGTTGACTAAATGCAGTAACTAGGAATATTGAATTATTTGGTCCCTTAGATATTCTCTCTTTTTTTTGGGGGGGGGCACTTAGTTTGGAAGTTCTCTGTGGGATTACTGATAAAAGTAAATGTTCTTTGTGTTATTACTTTTGCCTGTAGGTAGGTTTGCCATGGTGTGTTGACTTCATAGAGAGTGTGGCTTCATATTAAATGTGTGCATGTGCTTTTTCATGTTTCAACTGTTGAAGTCAGTTATTTGGCAAGATTTCACATGTAGACTCTGGAGTTGAAGTTGTCAAATTGTAGTTTGATACCTTCTAATTTTCAGTGGCTATATTGCGTTTAACTATTGCATTTTAGTGAATTTATTGCTTTCCCATCTCATTTCTTTTGTTGTAATTTTATCTGCCGTCACTTTTCATCTATTTCAGAAGTCACAAGTCCGTGATGGTTATCGGGAACAATCAGGTTGTTGGGGGCATTACATATCGCCCATATGTCAGGTAAACTAGGTGGTTATGTTATGATAGCCATCTTTTTCTCTTTCATTGATCCTTTTGTGTTGAAAGTAATAATATTTTACTAAATAAGGTAAGCTTTAACTTCAATACAAACTTTTTCTACTGTGTCAAATGAAATAGGAAAAATCATTCCAAGTATTATTTTTCTACTATGTTGTATTTTGTTGTATCTCAGTTTTCTTTCAGGGAGTCTCGGAGGTTATAAGGGTATATTTGTTATGTTGATAAACTTTTGGAGACTTCTATGTATTTATGGGAGGAAGAGGGGCCTAAATGTAATTCTGATATAATTGGATCCTTTGCTTATTTAAACCATTGGTTGTGTTGGATTAGGTTGTGTGAGAGTGGACATTTTGTTGTGAGACTGTAGAGAGGTTGTCTGTGTTTTTCCATGGTGGATATTTTTCTCTTTTATTCTGGACAGTCTACTGAGCTGAGTCATGTTGAACATTGGTGTTTTCTTTCTTTCTTCTTCCTATTATCTTCTTGGTTTATTATTCTCTTTTTTTACTGGTTGATAGTAATTTCTTCTTCCTATTTTAGAAATGTCCTTGCAGCACTTGTGTCATTATCAGATACTTGTCTAATCTGGTTAACATAGCATGCTCAATCTAAATGAGACAGTTTCCTTGGTTTACAAGACAGTTTCTTTGGGTCATAGGCTTATAGCTGGTCTTTTTCATTGTGAATCTGTCCTGTTCTTCTTAGTATACTCACTGTTCATTTGTTCTTTTATGTTTCTACATCCAACTTAGACATCAAAACTTGCAATCCTTTAAAATACTTATTTAATACTTGTACTTCAATTTCATCTTTTGTTTTTTCTTTTGTTCTTGTTCATTGGCACTCTGAAAAATGCAGTCAAAAATTTGGGGAGATAGCTTTTTGTGCAATTACGGCAGATGAACAAGTTAAAGGCTATGGCACCAGGCTTATGAATCACTTAAAGCAGCATGCTCGTGATGTTGATGGGCTCACTCATTTTCTAACTTATGCAGACAATAATGCTGTTGGCTATTTTGTCAAACAGGTTTGGTTCTCAAAGTGCTTTTCTACGTTTCTGCAAAAGCTGTTTGTACATTATAGTTATATCTGCAATAATTAGCAGTGGCAAAATCATTTTGGTTTTGCCAGTATGTCTATTTGGGTCTATCTCGAAAAAACTAACATATCTGCTGAAAATCATCTTTTTGAGTAAGAAAATGACAGAAATCTGAGATATTAGATGGAGTAAAAAAGTGGAGAAGGGTACATGGCATATGATTCATTGTCTGAGCACAAGTAGAGCAATTATGGATTCCATTCTGGTTCAAATAAAATGGATCCCAAGAGTCATATTCCATAGCAGCAGCTCATTGATCAGCAACAGTAATTAATGGATTCTAATGCAAAGGAAGGGAAGCCTCCAATATTCCAAAGAGTAATCAATGAAATCATTAATTCTTAACTATACAGCATATTCCATCCCACCCCACTTTTAGCTAATGCATCAGTAAAAAAAATAAGATTCCTTGGTGTCCATCTGAAAAAGCAATAAAAGGAAGCAGAGATGTCAAGAATTTCATGCTTTACGGAGTTACTGCTGAATTCTTTTTATCAGCAATAGGAACTTAATTTATTAGTTAATCCTGAAAGAATGTGTACATGATATTATAATAGCTGTTGAAAATTTTATTAATTGTGAGATAAAATGATGTATAAAAGAATATGTACCTTGAACTCCATCAACAAATATG